TTCTGGGATATTTTCCTGCTTCCAATATTTTGCCAAAGTAATTCTTGCTGCAGTGAGCAAGTGGGTGAGCAGATGTTCATCTGCCTTTTCCCAGTTGTCCGGCATTATGTTCAGTAAAAATATCTCCGGAGCTAAAGGAATCGGCTTTCTAAGAATTCGTACCATGATAGTATGTACTTCTTTCCAAAACTTTTGAATTTTCATACATATCCACCAGACACCAACTCAGAGCTTGCTAGCTGCTATCCTTTGTTCAGTTTATGTCTCCAGTACCTGGCATTGCATTTTATGGCACTCATGGCCCCGCCGACAAAGTGACACTTATGTCAGATCCAGCCCTCGTGACAAATGAGTTCGACACCTCTGCTCTAGCCATTTCCTCTGTATTTTCATCGTTCTCAGCCCTTCAGTAAACCAAAGGGCAGCTCGGGCTCTTAGTCTTGAGAGAAGGTGCAATCGTGTCAGTTGCCCAGGTCATTTCCCCATCCCAGAGGTCAACCAGAGCCTCGACAGGAGCACTGACCATACCAGCAGGAAGATCCTCTAATGCCATCTAAAAACCTGTTGGATCCGTCAGATGGGGGGGGGGGAGATAATCTCAGTGGAACAGAAATGTATCCCCTCGTCCGGGCTCAGCTTCACTCCACATGCAGGAAGCAGGATCCTCCAGTCTATTGCAGCTCGTCACATCCAGGGTTTTGATGTTCACGTGGTCACAGGATAAGACCTCTTTGGCTCACACCTCAGCCTGAGAGCCTGTTTAAATAGGCCAGGAACCCATGGAAGAGCCAAACGCTCCAGTGGGTCAGCCGCTTCTGCCACCTTAATGGGCCAGGTGGCAAAAACCAGGCAGCACCCCAGAAGCCCCTCTGGTGCAGGGATCCGTTCTGCCTTTAGCTGTTAACATCTATGACTCTGTTAATGTGGCACCCCAACATTTTGGGCAACAGCGTGATTACATTGAAAAATTCAGATCGAGGTGGGTCGCCATGCTGGTCAGAAGCGGCAGAACAAAGTTTGAGTCAAGTGGCACCTTTGAGACCAACAAAGTTTTATTCAAAGTGTAAGCTGTGCAAAACAGACTTCTTCGGACAAAACTGAAAAGATCTGTTCGTCATCAGGGGTCTCTCATGTTATTTGTGAGTCTGCATTTAGAATGGGCATTCAAGTTAATACTGTGGATATTTCATTTCTCCGCTGATTATCTGTTTTTTTGAGGGGAGGGGGAGGAAATGAACAAAAGGGGGGGGGGATCAAGGGTTTCTTCCATGCCCTAAGAAATACCAGAAAGCTGTATATCTGTTGGTGGGAAAGGGGGACTTCTTTGAATGGGAAACAGTGTTTGTGTCAGGCAGAATGAAAGAACTAATGCAATTTTTTATTTCCTTGGTTATAAAATTCTCCCACCCTGTGTTCATATAATATTGTGTGTCTCCTTACAGTGACAGGTATCTGTTCTTTTGTTGTTGTTGTTGTTGTTGTTCAGTCGCACAGTCGGGTCCGACTCTTCGCGACCCCATGGACAATCTCCCGCCAGGCTCTCCTGTCTTCCGCCGTCCTCCGAAGTTGGCTCAATTTCATGTTCGTTGCATCGCTGACACTGTCTAACCATCTCATCCTTTGCCGTCCCCGTCTTCTTTGACCTTCAATCTTTCCCAGCATCAGGGTCTTTTCCAGTGAGTGCTCCCTTCTCATTTGGTGGCCAAAGTATTTGAGCTTCAGTTTCATTATCTGGCCTTCCAGGGAACAGTCAGGGTTGATTTCTTTGAGGATTGACTGATTTGTTCTTCTTGCAGTCCAAGGGACTCTCAAGAGTCTTCTCCAGCACCATAGTTCAAAAGAATCTATTCTTCGGCGCTCGGCCTTCCTTATAGTCCAACTCTCGCAGCCATACATGACTACTGGGAATACCATTGCTTTGACCATGCGGACTTTTGTTGGCAGGGTGATGTCTCTACTTTTTATCATGCTGTTTAGGTTCGCCATCGCTTTCCTCCCAAGGAGCAGGCGTCTTTTAATTTCATGGCTGCAGTCACAGTCTGCGGTGATCTGGGATCCCAGGAACGTGAAGTCTGTCACTACTTCCACGACTTCCCCTTCTATTTGCCAAGGAGTGATGGGGCCGGATGCCATGATCTTAGTTTTTTTGATGTTGAGCTTCAAGCCCACTTTTGCGCTCTCCTCTTTTACTCTGAGCAAGAGGCTCTTTAGATCCTTTTCACTTTCAGCCATTAGAGTGGTATCATCTGCATATCTGAGGTTGTTGATCTTTTCCCCAGCAATCTTAATTCCCGCTTGTGATTCATCCAGGCCAGCATTTCGCATGATGTACTCTGCATATATATTAAATAAGCAAGGTGACAGTATACATCCTTGTCGTACTCCTTTTCCTATGCTGAACCAATCAGTTGTTCCGTATCCGGTTCTAACTGTCGCTTCTTGGCCCTTATACAGGTTTCTCAAGAGACATGTGAGGTGGTCTGGTACTCCCATCTCTTTAAGGACCTGCCATAGTTTGTTGTGATCCACACAGTCAAAGGCTTTAGCATAGTCAATGAAGCAGAAGTAGATATTTTTCTGGTACTCTCTTGCTTTCTCCATAATCCAGCGAATGTTGGCAATATGATCTCTCGTTCCTCTACCTCTTCGAAACCCAGCTTGTACTTCTGGTAGTTCTCTATCCACGTACTGTTGAAGCCTAGCTTGTAGGATCTTGAGCATGACCTTGCTAGCGTGTGATATGAGTGCAATTGTGCGATAGTTTGAACATTCCTTGGCGTTGCCCTTCTTTGGGATTGGAATGTATACTGATCTTTTCCAATCCTGTGGCCACTGTTGCGTTTTCCAAATTTGCTGGCAAATGGAGTGCAGCACTTTAACAGCATCATCTTCTAAGACTTTGAATAGCTCAGCTGGAATACCATCACCTCCACTAGCTTTGTTGTTAGTAATGCTTTCTAAGGCCCATTTAACTTCACATTCCAGGATGTCTGGCTCGAGGTCAGTGATTATACCGTCGTGGTTGTCAAGGACATCGAGGTCTTTCTTGTATAGTTCTTCTGTGTATTCTTGCCATCTTTTCCTAATCTCTTCTGCTTCTGTTAGGTCCCTACCGTTTTTGTCCTTTATCATGGCCAGCTTTGCATGGAACGCTCCCTTGATTTCTCCAATTTTCTTGAAGAGATCTCTAGTCCTTCCCATTCTATTGTTTTCTTCTATTACTTTGCACTGTTCATTCAGGAAGGCCTCCTTATCTCTCCTTGCTGTTCTCTGGAAATCTGCGTTCAGTTGGGTAAATCTTTCCTTTTCGCCTTTGCCTTTCGCTTTCCTTCTTTCCTCTGCTATTTGTAAAGCCTCATCAGAAAGCCATTTTGCTTTCTTGCATTTCTTTTTCTTTGGTATGGTGGTGATTGCTGCCTCCTGTACAATGTCACGAACCTCCGTCCATAGTTCTTCAGGCACTCTATCTATCAAATCCAGACCCTTGAATCTATTCTTCACCTCTACTGTATATTCATCAGGGATGTGATCTAGGTCAAACCTGAATGGCCTCGTGGTTTTCCCGATTTTCTTCAGTTTAAGTCTGAATTTTGCAATGAGTAGCTCATGATCTGAACCACAGTCAGCTCCAGGTCTTGTTTTTACTGACTGGATAGAGCTTCTCCATCTTTGACTGCAAATTATATAGTCAATCTGATTTCGGTGTTGCCCATCTGGTGATGTCCATGTGTAGAGTCGCCTCTTAGGTTGTTGGAAAAGGGTGTTCGCTATGACTAGTGTGTTCTCTTGACAAAACTCTGTTAACCTTTGCCCTGCTTCATTTTGCTTTCCAAGGCCAAACTTGTCTGTTATTCCAGTTACCTTTTCACTTCCTACTTTAGCATTCCAGTCCCCTATGATGATGAGGACATCATTTTTTGGTGTTAGTTCTAGGAGGTGTTGTAGGTCTTCATAGAACCGGTGGACCGGTTCTGTTCTTTTACCATTTTTAAAACATAAAATTATAGTTGTATATGAAATCTACCCAAAAACTATGGTAAAACAAAGGTGAAACTTGAGAATATCTTTATTTTAACCAGTAAGATTTTTTGCTAGGAAACTGGAATGTGTAAAAGTGTAATGACGCAGGAAATCTTCTAAGATAAAGAGCAAATGTTGCTGTATTTAAATGGATGAAGGAGAATCTTTTCAGAAAGTACGGATGGGTTGAGTGTGTTGTCATTAATAGAATTAAAATCGGTAATCCCCTTCTAAAACTGCAAAATATTGGAAAACAGTAAGGAATAATCCAGCCAAAATTCAGCAATTTTAGGTTCCATTGAATTGATTGAGAAGGTTTAACTTAAAAGTGCTTAATTTTGGCAGGATCATGCCGGTGGTTTTCTAAAGAGGACAGCCAGTTTATTTATTTATTTATTTATGTATTGGGGGGGGGTTCTTAATGATAATTATGATAATCAGAGTTTGCTATGTTGTTGTTTACAGTGCTTTAAAAATTCTTAGGGGCCCAATCCAGTTGATGTGGGTGCAGTTCCCTTATTACACCATATAAGAGATCCTTCAGAGTATGAGTAATTTGAATGACATGGCATGTATGGACCTCCTCTTCTTTGTAATGGCCTCTTTAGCTGCCTCTGTGTGTGCTTATAGGTGGCTGGTGGGGAAATGGGTTGTTGGAGTTGGGGCTGCATTGGGGAACCTTCAAGCTTGCATTTAGAGTAGACTGGGTCCTTAATTTATTTTTAAAAAACCAATTTAAAAAACTGTGGCTTTTAGCAGGTTGTTGAGGAAAATCTCATATCTGTTTTTAAAGCGAAAAGGACTAAAATATTAATATACCGGAATTCTTCATCCACAGATTTTCTAAGGGTTTTTAGACAGAATTTCCGTCACAAACTGTGGGCAGAAAAATATCTTTTGAAAATAAAACGATAGAAAGAATTCAGTGCCATGTAGCTTTTTACCGTTACAGCTTTTAATTTTTTTTTGTCCCTTTGTAGATCTAAGCAGAAACACACGAAGCTTAAAAGATACTTAAAAGAAATATGTGAACGTCAGAAAAAATCTCTGCTCCGAAACCAAGATTTGTTGAAAGAATTTGATTGTATTGAAGCTCATATTAGAAAGTTTGCTTCGAGGTCAGAGTCTCTTCAAAAGCTGAAGGTATTATGTTCCGTTCTGTAATAAATACCGACAATCCTGTTGATGAAACTAGACTGTGCCGGGACTTGTTGTGCCAGGCAGTCCTAGCATCTTCTTTTAGAATAATTGGTTGGCTTCTGTGTCACAAATGCAATTGTCCACTTCTTGGGATGAGCCAAGGTGCCCTCACAGCTTTGGGAAGGGGGAATATTGAGAGCGCAGAGGACTTTGAATAGTCTGCCCATCCCGTTGTATTTCCACCCACCAAGTATCTGATACCTTGGTTCTATGGCCAATTAAATTGGACTTAAAATAATAAAGAGGGCTTGGGTAAAAATCTCTCTTGGTGTGTCGTTAAAATTCCTTGTGATGCCTTTTCTCTGTGTGGTATCTGATTTTTAATTTTACTGGCTGTTGAAGCATTCTAGAACGGCCTTGATGGATGTTTGCCCTGCTGTGCGCTTTGTTTTCCCTTGATGTGTTTTGTTTTCCAGCGTGGTATAAGAAGTGTTTGTTTGAAATGGTGGGTTGTCTTACTGCAGATGTAGCCGTGTCGTCCTTTTTTGCTAGTCTCTGGCCCATCAGCACTTAAATTTTGCTGAAATTCATTTTGATGTTGAGTTCAGTGTTTAGCTTTTTGTAAATGCCTAGCTCCGGCACAATCTTGACTTGAAAGAAATTTTTCAAGGGTAGCTGCTTGCATTTATTTCATCTGAAGCCATAAACTCTAATGAAATTGCCTTGTCGGAATCTGTGTGTAGTCCCTAGACTCTGAAGGTGGTATGAAACTTTCCCCTTAGAATAGTATCTGGCTGTCTAACATATTAAGATCATTATTTCCAAAGTGTCAGAGAGCCAGTTTGGTCTAGTGCCTGGGATGGGGTCTGGGAAACCCAGGTTCGAATCCCCTCTCTGCCATGAGAACTCACTCTATTACCCTGGGCCAGCCACTCTCTGGTGCTGTGAGGAAGAACAATGTTGTAAGCCTCTTTGAGTACCCATTGTGGAGGAAAGTGGAGTATAAATATCGAAATAAGTGTATATGGAAGAACTGGCACATGGTTGTTCATACGTGAAGGACAAAATTGTATAATATTGTAAATGCTGAGGTAATGGGTTTTGCATTAAAGGTATTTGAATTTTTGAGCTGTTTTTGAGCTGTTATGAGCATATGAAAATTCATATGATACTTGCATATGAAAATTAAAACTTCCCCACTGTTCAGTGTTTATGTGTGTGTATTGTTAAATATTCCTGTTACAATTTTGTGGTATGTATTTATAACTCTTTATACTTATGTGTGGGTCAGATGAATCAAGGTGTTCTGACATTCCACTGATCTCGGTGGGAGAATGTAACAGTTTTGCTTCACCCAAGCTGGTATCCATGGGAAGTACACCTGCGTAATTTTAGCCAGATCATAATTTGCATAAACAAAATTGGTTTGTTTAATCTTAATTTATAATCTCTCTCTCTCTCTCTTTGTATTAGGCAGAGTATGAAAGACAAGTTAAAAGTAGACTGGCACTTCAGAAAAATAGTACATTAAAAGATGATGGGGAAGATAATGTTAAGCAGCTGGTAAGTGAAAAAAAAATTGAAGCAGGTAAGCTACATCCAACTAACGTTAAAACATTTAAGTCCCATTGATCTTGAGGGGGAAATTAAGCACACATTGAAGTCTCTGTCATTGAAATCAATGGGTCTTAAAAGCGCTTTGCTCTGGCTGGACTCTGCCCATAATCTTTATTAATGAGAAGCTCTTAGTGGTTTTTATTTTATTCCGTTTTGTTTCAAACTTCTTTGCAAAACTATGTTAAATGTGGTTCCTTTCACCATTCAGTTTAAACTGCACAACACTTGCCGGGAAAAGCAATAGTGTAATTATTCACCGTGTAATTAGGAAACAGGAGGAGACCCCCTTCTGCACTTTGTCTCGCGGGTCTTGTTCTAAACTCAGAAAAGTCTAGAAACCGTCTCTAAACTTAAAGCATGAACATGTAGCATTTATAATTCTGTACCTTTTGACCTTCCCTCCACCTCCAGAAGACACACACACATAAAAGCTGGGAAAAGATTGCATATCTAAACCACAGACAAAAGCTGACAAGGAATACTTAAATATATTCTGCTATATATCTGCAGTAATGCAGGCTTCTAATCCTTCCTCCTATCTCCATATAAATGATACAGTTCAAGACCAGAGCTGTTTTTCTTCCCTAAAAGCAGGAAAGCTCTTTTAGATGAAATGTCTAAAAACATCTTGTAATAACTTGGAGCATGCTGGCAAGAGTAGTCACTTGTGACTATATGTGAAACCCCCTCAGCTAGTCGATATTGTAATAAGCCAGAATGGGGAGCATCTCTCCATTATTCAGAAAAGCCAACAGCATGCTTGTCCCTTAGGCTAGAGCATTCATTAAGGAAAGCTTACTGGCGGAAAGCTGGAAACAGATGATAACAGGATATGATTTTCATATTTAATGCATTCCTTGGAAGAGTATGTGTGTTGCAGATTGATAGAAGAATCAACTGCTACTTTACTAAAAGACTTTCTAGTTTGCCCTATAGCTACCGATGGAATCATTCAGCCAAGAAATTAACTTTTCCTCCTTTTACCTGCTTTATGTATCAGCTAAGCAGGCTGTCTTGCTGCCAGTAAATGTTATTATGCATTTAACTGTTTGGTATTTAAGACTCTTATCAGAAAAGAAACAGAGGCTGCACTATTTTGTGTGTGTGTGCGTGCATGTATGTTGTTGTTGTTTTTTAAATAGGAGGAAGGTTTTCGTTTTTCTTTCTTCATTGCATTAGCAGACGTTAATCTGAGTTTATAGATATTTTTCCCTCATGCTGTAGATTTTAAAAAGTAGGAAAACCTTGAATTTAGGCCATTCTTCGTAAATATACAGAGCAATGAGCTTCACCAACCTTGACCTATATAAGCAGGCCTTCAACAATGTATGAATTGCATTCAGTTCAGTCATATATGAAATGCTAACTTTCTTTTTCTTTTTGGAGATACATTCTGAAAATATTTGTCTTTAGTAGAGTTCTTGATTTCAAGAAAACCGCATCACTTTGCTGCTGTAATCGCACGGTTAACCTGAATACTGGAACGCCTATAATACTGGCATACACCTATAATGTCAATTGTTGCTATGGCTGCTTATTTATAGATGTGTTTATTCTCTTTCAAGTACTAGGTACAGTGAAAGCGCTGTATTAAAAACGGATGGGATCCAAATAGCCCAACCACTGCTGAATGCAGGGTTGTCAGTCTCTCTGTCCCGTCCCCCCCGGTCTCATCATGCACTGTCTGAAGGGTCCCTTTGCTGAGGAGTGGCTTTTCTGGGTAAAAGGCAATAAGAAGAGTCTCCATGTGGATATGGAAGCTCCTCTTGCAGTCTTCTGGATCCTAGCAAATGGTATTTTTACAAAAATTACATCCTGTCCTATTTCTAAGGCTTACGGGGCTTATGCTTTGAACAACTGCTCTCTCTCTCAAAGAGGGGGGAGTAAAGCTAAGGAACAGAATCCCCCACCCCTATTATTACGTAAATGGAGAGTAGGCTGCATGATGTAGCCTGATCTCATCAAATCTTGGAAATTAAGCAGGGTCGGTACTTGGGTGGGGAGCCGCCAAGGAAGACTGCACACAGGAAGGCAATGGCTAACCGCCTCTGCTTCTCACTTGCCTTGGAAGCCGCTTGCTGGGGCCACCATCAGTTGGTTGTGACATGGCGGTAAACATGTGCATATTTACGTGTTACAAAAATGGTCCACAAATTTGTTTGTTGCTCAGTCGCACAGTCGAGTCCGACTCTTCGCGACCCCATGGACAAGATCCCGCCAGGCCCTCCTGTCTTCCGCCGTCCTCTGAAGTTTGCTCAGTTTCATGTTCGTTGCATCTATGACACTGTCTAACCATCTCATCCTTTGCCGTCCCCGTCACCTCCACTAGCTTTGTTGTTAGTAATGCTTTCTAAGGCCCATTTAACTTTACATTCCAGGATGTCTGGCTCGAGGTCAGTGATTATACCGTCGTGGTTGTCAAGGACATCGAGGTCTTTCTTGTATAGTTCTTCTGTGTATTCTTGCCATCTTTTCCTAATCTCTTCTGCTTCTTTTAGGTCCCTACCGTTTTTGTCCTTTATCATGGCCAGCTTTGCATGGAACGCTCCCTTGATTTCTCCAGTTTTCTTGAAGAGATCTCTAGTCCTTCCCATTCTATTGTTTTCCTCTATTACTTTGCATTATTCATTCAGGAAGGCCTCCTTATCTCAGGAAGGCCTCCTTATTTCTCCTTGCTGTTCTCTGGAAATCTGCATTCAGTTGGTCCCCAAATAGCTAGATCTTTTTGTAGCAACCACGGTGAACTTGTGCTGAGAAGGGAGGGGCACAGTGATGGTTGCCTGTTGTTCTGGGCTCGATTAATTGATGGTCTTCTCACCAGAAGGAGATATTGGACTCTCAGCTGCCACTGTTTCAGCGACTGGTGGGCCGCTCTTCATATTTGTGTAAGGTGTGCAGACCTTTCCCCATAGTCATAATAGGATCCCCTTTTCCAGAATGTTACAAACTCTAATTGGTGACTGGACTGCCTGTGTGATTTAGTACAAGGAAACCTGCTTGGACATTCCGAGGTGGGCACAGTCTGTAAAAAGTTCTGTACTAGTCCACTGACATGAGCAGCATCAGGACAGTAATACAGATATTCCAGTAGGCCTTGATGGGAAAGACCTTTTATGCCCACAGGCCTTTCACCTTCCCTTTGAAGCGTCAGACTAGACACCTCTGCTATTGTACTTGCAGGGTTTTGAACCCGCAGCGTCTTCCCCTTGGCCTGTAGTGGAAGTGTTCCATCATACTCTAGGGATGACCAAGAAATTCCTTCTGGGAATGGGCTGAGAGGAGACCCAAAACTTGCCCCTTACCACATAGTGTTGGAAATACTGGGGGCAGGATGATGAGGTTAGTTTATTATTTATTTGTTTGTTTATTTTATTGGATTTTTATCCCGCCCTCCCCTCGTGGTGTTCTGGGTGCTGCTGTGTCTTTCATTTGTGAGATAATGTCATTCACTCTTGTGGGAATAAGTGTTGCACTTGGACCACCGACACAGTAAGAGCAAAATCTGCTCCTGTGACTGCTCAGCCTTCACTCCCCCTCAGATTGTCTTTGCACTTTTGCAGTGTATAGTGTCATCCCCCACCCCCCGAATTTTCTGCTTAATATAATGGCAGGCTTTGTACTAGTCCTTGCATAGTTCATTGATGTTATTGCTATCTGCCCTAAGCTGCTGGAATGGGTCCAAAATGTATAATATTAGTATTTAAAAGCGTAATATTTTTGTAAGCCTGGCAAGAATATAATGTGTGTGTGAACTTCTGCATGCCCGGTGATGTGTTTGTCATTCCCCCCCCCCCCCCCCCCCCCCATGATAGACTTCTGTGCCAGATCCCAAACTGCTTTGGAAATCCTTCAGTTTCAAAATAGCTGTGATTTATGGTGACCCCATGAATTAATGACCTCCAAAATGTCCTATTAACAGCCTTGTCCAGGTCTTGCAAACCAAAGGCTGTGGCTTTCTTTGTTGACTCAATCTGTCTCATGGTGGGTCTTCCAATTTCTTTAGCATTATTGTCTTTCCAGTGAGTTTTGTCTTCTCATGTGGAAGATAGTGGCTTGGATCCTGTGAACAAGCTTTGCGTGTGCATAGTCTCTGTCACAGAGTGTGCTTCCTCTTGCGCTAGCACTTCTGTTTGCGCAGAATCTATCGATTGCGCATGGAACTTGTTCGTAGGCTCCAAGCCTGTATCTTATAGTATCTTCTCATGCAGTTTAAATAAACTTACCTTACTATGATTGTCGAATAAGAGTTTGGTAGGAACTGAGTTTTTTAAAAGCTGTGGATCAACGACACTTCACCATCCTCTGTATCCTAGTGCAGAGCCAGGTTCCATCCAGTCCAGCAGGGATCTCTGGCAGAAAGTTTGAGAACAGACCTTGGCCTGAAGGCCTCTTCGTCAGAGCCCTGCGGTCTGTCTCTGCATAGACAGCCTCATAGACTCCTGTTTGCTTGCTCTTTTCTGTTTGGTAGGCCACTAGTTGGTAGCCATCTTCTAGAGCCTTTTAAAAAGTAAAAATATTAAGTGTTTCCATGTCTAATGATTTTGGTAAAGATCTAGGATGCTTAAGGACAAAGTAGTCATCACCAGTATGTACTAGTAGGGACATACTACTGCCCTGGATAGCCCAGGATAGCGTGGTCTTGTCAGATCTTGGAGGCTAAGCAGGGTTGGCCTTGTTTAATATTTGGATGGGAGATCTCCAAGGAATAGCAGGGTTGTGATGTGGAGGCAGGCAATGGCAAACCACGCCTCTTGCCTTTAAAACCCTATGTTTTTAAGTCAGCTGTGACTTGATGGCAAAAAAGGGGACACAATCCAATAGGGGGATCTTGTGTGCAACCCCCATTGAAATAAATGGATGCTAAATAAATGGAGCTGCGGTGGCTCAAGTGGTTAAGACGCTGAACTGCAGGCTGTGGAAGGTCAGTAGTTCAGCAGTTCGAGACCTGAGTTGCTGCATGACGGAGTGAGCTCCCGTCTCTAGTTCCAGCTCCTGCCAACCTAGCAGTTCGAAAGCAAGAAATTGCAAGTAGATAAATAGGGACCACTTCGGTGGGAACGTCACAGCGTTCTGTGCACCTTGGTGTTCAGTCATGCCGGCCACATGACCACGGAAAACGTCTTCGGACAGCGCTGGCTCTTCGGCTTTGAAACGGAGATGAGCACCGCAACCCTGGAGTTGGACTCGACTGGCTTTCGAGCAAGGGAACCTTTACTTTAAATAGTTTGTATGTATTTCAGTGGGGCTTCAACAGGAGATCTTTTGGTTGATATATATGGCTGGTCAGGCAACTGGTTCCCTAGCTCACCTCCTGGGACTTAGCTACCGTCATCCATGCAATAGTCACTTCCAGGCTGGAGTACTGTAACTTGCTGTTTGTGGGGCTGCCCTTGAAACCTGACTTTGAAACTGCAGCTAGTGCAGAATGCGACTGTGCGCCTGCTGATGGTGACATCTGTGCGGGTATGCATTCAGGTGGTGCTACGCCAACGGCACTGGCTGCCAATTGAATACTGGATACGGATCAAGGCTACGGTATTGACCTTTGAAGTCCTGTGTGGCCTAGGATCAGCATACCTACAGGACCGTCTCTCCCTGTATGTGCCCCAGAGAGCCTTGTGCTCTGCAAATCAGGATCTACTGGTAGTCCTTGGCCCAAAAGATGTCTCTCTAGCCTCAATCAGGGCCAGGGCCTTTCTGCCCTTGCCCCGGCCTGGTGGAACAAGCTCCCATCTGAGACCACGGCCCTGCGGAACTTATTACAGTTCCGTAGGGCCTGTAAAGAAGGAGCTGCGGTGGCTCAAGCGGTTAAGATGCTGAACTGCAGGCTGTGGAAGGTCAGTAGTTCAGCAGTTCGAGACCCGAGTTGCCGCATGATGGAGTGAGCTCCCGTCTTTGGCCCCAGCTCCTGCCAGCCTAGGAGTTCGAAAGCAAGAAATTGAAAGTAGATAAAGAGGTACCACTTCGGTGGGAAGGGAACAGTGTTCTGTGCACCTTGGTTTTAGTCATGCCGGCCACATGACCACGGAAACGTCTTCGGACAGCGCTGGCTCTTCGGCTTTGAAACGGAGATGAGCACCGCAACCCTAGAGTCGGATTCCACCGGCTTTCGAACAAGGGAACCTTTACCTTTACCTTTAACATCCTACAGGAGGCACTATGGACTGCTCTGGAGCTGTTGTCTTTGTTTTAGATGCCATCTTGTTCTGAATGTTTTAAATCTGGCTTTGATTATATGCTTATTCTTATTTTCTATGTTGTGAGTTGCCCTGAGCCCACTTGTGGGATAGGGCGGGATATAAGCTTAAATAAGAGTGCCTTTTAGGTGAAGGAATAATATATATTAAGGGGATGACATTTTATTCTCCCCAACTCTGTAAACCCATCGATAGCTCCCATCTGAAGCAACAACTACGCTAAAATTAACTGATTCCCACCTCTGTTTTTCCAGACGATGGCAGAAGCAAGACAAGCAGGAATTAACACCAGGACAGCCATGTCAACAGGACTGTATCACACGGCGACCATCTTTATGGGCCGCCAAATGTCAGCTGTCTCAGACGCTGACGATTTTGGTGAACTGCAGAAATCTTCCCAGCTCACAAAGAGCTTTTCAATTCCTGACCCACATGCCCATACGCAGCCATCACAGAGCAGCAGTGTGACTGACAGCTGTGTAGTACAAACTAATAGTGATCTACAGTGCTTAAATCAGTCTGACAAAACACATGGGAGGACATATCTGCCGGCGGGTGCCGAAATGCCAGTCACATCTGGCGTGTCATCTGAGAATGGGAGGACTTGCGGTGTAACAGTTGAACGCCAGGCAAATAATTGCGGCAGTAATTTCATGGAAAGCAAAGAATCTCCTGAAGTTAACTCCCTGTTGCACGGAAGATTAAGTCCTGAGAACAAAGGCTCCAGTTTCAAAAGTGACAGTTTACGCGGATCTGTGGGAAAAGTCCTGACACATGAGCACTCTGTACTAAATGAACAGGGATCCAAGAGGCCAATCTCACTGACGTTTCACCCTGAGGAAGCTGTTTCTGGAAATGAGTACTCAAGAGAGAAATTCCCAGGTATTGTGAGGATGTGCCTGATGGCCGTGGCGGGGGTTGGCGGGGAGGAGAAAGAGAGGTGTTCTTTTTTTAACTGGATGTTTACAGTGGTGCCCATCAGAGCAAGAGGGAATGGCAGTGGCTCTGTTTTTAATTCCAAGGAGGACAAGGGATGCAGCTGGGGAGTATCTGATGCTTTTGTTTTTGGTATACTGCCTGAACTACTGGAGTGGGAGTCCATGCAAGATACATTTCTTCTGAGCCTTTTAACTGCTGCTTTGGGGTGCCACTTTCCAGGCCGTTTCTGTTTCATGTTTGGGGAAAGGGACATTTTTTTCCCCATTGCATTTTTCTCCCTGTTGTCTTTGTTGCTTTCAAGTGATATAAGAAAATAAATGAGTGTGCCCTGTGAGGGCCTTCCTTTCAGGGGGAGTTGGGCTGGCAGACACTGGGCCTCTCAAAGACTGGCTCTTAGGCCTGTGTTTTATTCAGGGATAGAAGTCATCAGGATGGTTAAAAGCCATGATTTCTGATTTGCTTTTGCTTTTTTAAAAGTTCCAGCTGTAAGAATAAACAACCTGCTTTAAAAGGAGATTTGAAGTTAGGGCAAAAATACAATCTGAAAGCGGTACCCATGATCCTCTTGTGAAAGGCTGCTTTTCTTTGCAAAGAAAGAACAACTTTGCCAGTTGCACATTATGGTTTGATGCTGGGGGCCCAGAGAGTGGCAGGTCACCCTGGCTGTTGTCCATCTGGGTGATCTCTTACTCCTCTTGCGTGCCTGATATCTGGAGTTGGCTTATTGCTCTCCTTATAAATGCTTACGACTCTGCCTTCCAATAAAAGGACAGGAATATTTTCCTTCCATTTCATGGAGAATCCTATTTGGCCCAGGAACTACCGCTGGCCCTTGCTTGATTGTTTTTGGGGTAGGCCTGGGCTATAGAACAAAGGAAAAATAGCAAATTCAGGGCCTACCTACCTGTTACAAAGTCATCTAGTTGCATTCGAATCCACTACAAGGACATTCAATCAAATGTGAATTGTGAGTTCCCCAGTGGGAGCTCAGTTCTTAGGTGTGTGGAGGCCTAACACGGCACATAGAAAGAAGTGCTTGTACCCCCCCCCCCCCCGGTGCCATTTTCTAGCCAGAAATTGTCCCAGGGTGGATCCGTCTGTACAAGCAGGTCTCCTAAATGGGGCATGTAACAAGTGCTTATCATTTTCTATGTTAATAAAAATATTATATGACATATTTAAGAAATGTACACCCCCTCAGGTTGAGTTAAAACTCTGTTCAGTTTTAAATCATTAAGTTTTATGGCTCTAGTGACCAATTTGTATCCACTTAGGAGGCATCTAAAGCATAAATGGAAAACTTTGATTTAAATAGGAGTTTTCTTTCTGTTGGTAGTTGCATGCATTTAAATTAATCTGCAACGAGAACCAGTCATCTTTAAATTTCTGTGCTTTCTATTAACAAAAAAATACTTCTGCTTCTAAAATTTAATTCTCATTGAACTTAACAGTGCTGTAACTGATTTTTCTCTCTTTGTCACTTTCTGATGTGAAGGTTTATTGCTTATAATATCTGTTAACTTTTTCATTTCAGCGGTCGAGATTTTTAATGATAGATCTTGTAGATGTGTGCGTTTATACTGTGTGTGCGTTTTTAAAAAAACCTGCTAATGTAAAACCCACAAAATATACAAATGGGTCAAAGAAGGCTGGGGGAATATTTATTTATTAAATTTGATTTTAGACTGCCTCCCCCAGAGGAACTGGGCTGAGGGCAGTGTACAACCTGATATCATGTAAACATTGTTAAAAGCAGGTTAAAACCAGTAAAACATAACAGTACCAAGCAATGGCATTAAAATTTCCCGATGATCTCACTGGCCTCCCGGGGAGGCAGGGAGGTGGATGTGCCAGAAAGGATGAAGCCATCGCTGTACTCAACCAAATGCCTGGCAGAACATCTCTGCCTTCGAGGCCCTGCGGAACTGTATCAGGTCCCGCAGGGCACGGATTTTATTCAGCAGAGTTCTGCCGCATCGAAGCCAGGGCAGAGAACACCCTGGCTCTGGTTGAGGACAGCTGGATATTTCTTGGGCTGGGGACCACCAGCAGATTAATATATATTCCTGTTAAACCACAGCTTTTATTTTCCTCCCCACCCCCCCACCCCCAGTATGCAGAACCGCTACAAAATACTCATTGTGGTCAAAGACTCACCTTTTTGACCATACAGAATATTTACAAAGAACGAAACAGCTGCACTTATTTGACAGAAGCTCGTTGCAAAAACAGCCCTTGGCACAGCTGGTGCAGCCAGAGCTGGGCAACAGGGACAGCAGCTTTTTTGGCAGGAAGAACGTTTGCAATTTTTGCACTGCAGGAAGAAGCAAAGCTACAAGGACCACCAGTAGCACATGGGCAGTTCTGAGGATCCATCACACTTTGGGGTTGCTTTGTAGTCACCATCAGCCGCTTATAGAAGAGCAGAGCAATCAGCTGTTGACCACCAGCAGATTTTGACCTATTGAGTGCCTAAAGGTAAAGGTCTCCCTTGCTCGAAAGCCAGTCGAATCCGACTCTAGGGTTGCGGTGCTCGTCTCCGTTTCCAAGCTGAAGAGCCAGCGCTGTCTGAAGACGTTTCCATGATCATGTGGCCAGCATGACTAAACACCAAGGCGCACGGAACGCTGTTACCTTCCCACCAAAGCGGTACCTATTTATCTACTTGCAATTTCTTGCTTTCGAACGGCTAGGTTGGCAGAAGCTGGAACTAGAGACGGGAGCTCACTCCGTCATGCGGCAACTCGGGTCTCAAACTGCTGAACTACCCACCTTCCAGCCTGCAGTTCAGCATCTTAACCACTGAGCCGCTCCTATTGAGTGCTGTGCAGGGCCTTAAAGGTCAATACCAGAACCCTGAACTTGATCCAGTACTCCACTGGAAGCCAGTGCAGCTCGCACAGCACGAGGCGGACGTGTTCTGTATGCAGAGTCCCTGTAAGGACCCGCGCAGCCTCAGGGGTAGGCCCATGTAGAGTGAGTTACAGTAATCTAGCCTGGAGGTGACACTTGCGTGGATTACTGTGACTAGATCAGGGCGAGGCGGGTAGGGGACCAGTTGCGTGACCTGGCGCAATTGGAAGAATGTAAGGACAAAAAAAAGGGGGGGGGGGACTGAACCTAAAACCTAGAATTCAGAACCTAAAAAGGTTAGTCAAGAATGTAAGAGGGCCAACTGTAAAAATCTAATTATGAAACATACAAAAATATACATGTATTTATTAAACACAAATTAAAATAATAAATAAGGGCCCATTCATACCTCATATACAAATATAAAAATACAAAGGCTGATAAAATAGACCTAACACGTTTCGGCCTTTACAGGCCTTCCTCAGAGGTCTAATACAAATAGAACATGTTGACGAAATGTAAAATATATATCCAATCATACATATACAAAATATGAGATAAAGACCGGAAAACAATTGTTCCAAAGTTTAACCACTGGGCAAAAATACAAATGAAACCTCCAGTGCAAGTTAAAAGGAATATTTCAGTGGGAACATTTGGCTATACAATCTCAGGAGAATATATAGTTGACCAGAGAGAAGTACTACTGGACATGTGATTGCACTGGAGGTTTCATTTGCATTTTTGCCCATATTTACATATTAGCCAACATGTTCTATTTGCAGTAGACCTCTGAGGAAGGCGTGTGTAGGCCAAAACCTTTATCAGCCTTTGTATTTTTATATTTGTATATGAGGTATGAATGGGCCCTTATTTGTTATTTTAATTTGTGTTTAATAAATACATGTATATTTTTGTATGTTTCATAATTAGATTTTAGAGTTGGCCCTCTTCTCTTCTTGACTAACCTTTTTAGGTTCTGAAGCAGTTGGAAGAATGCCAGTCTTGGCGACACTTGTGACCTGGGCCTCCATTTGTTAAGGAGGCATCCAGGATCACACCCAGGCTCTTGACGGTTGGTGCCAGTTTCAAGGGAACACCATCAAGAGCTGGGAGTCGGCACCCCAAACCGGAATCCCCCTGCCCCAGCCACAAAACCTCCATCTTAGAAGGTTTCAGTTCAGCCGGCTCTGTTTCAGCCATCCCACCCCAGCCTCCAGCCCCTCAGCCAGTTTTCTCGGGGTGGAGTCTGGCCAACCCCCCATCAGCAGATAAAGCTGGGTGTCATCAGCGTACTAGTGACACCCCAGCTCGAACCTCTGCATCAGTCGGGCAAGGGGGCGCGTGTAGATGTTAAATAACTTTGGGGAAAGGATTGCCCCCTGAGGGACCCCACATACCAAGGGGTTCCTAGGTGCCAGCCTCTCTCCCAGCGCCACCCTCTGTCCTCGAACTTGGAGAAAGGAGGCGAGCCACTTCAAGACGACCCCGCAGACTCCTAGGTCGGGGAGGTGGTGGGTCAGATGATCGCGATGGCGTTGAATGCTGCTGTAAAGTCTAACGACAATATCGGGAGCGCTGGTCTGCCTCGATCCAGGTGTCAGGAGAGTTCCTCCGTGAGGGCAGCCAAAGCCGTCTCCGTCCCATGGCCGGGGTGGAAGCCGGACTGGAATGGGTCCAGGACCGATCTGTCTTCCAGAAAACTGTGGAGCTGCTCTGCAGCTGGTCCCTCCATTACCTTACCCAGGAATGAAAAGTTCGGGACTGGGTGGGGGTGGGGGTGGGGGTAAATGGATGGATCTGAAGGATCCAAAGTTGGCTTTTTAAAGAGCGGTACAACCACAGCCTCTTTCAATCCTCCAGGGACAGGGACAGGATTTGAGATCTCACCTGTTTCTCTTGCTACAGGGTGGCTGATAGTTGTTGTCACGTGAGACAGGGTGGCCCTGCGGGAAGCTGGTCCCAGAGGGCGGATGGAGAGGGCCTGGCGGTGTCTTCCCTGCTCTCTCATTCTGTCTACATTTTCCCCCAGTGGATGTTTTTTTAAAAAATAGCAGTTGTAATTTCAAAAAGTTTCCTTTTTTAGTGTCCTCTGTTGAAGATTTTTTGCCTGGTTTTATTTTGCCTGCCTGCCTGCCTGCCTGCCTGCCTGCCTGCCTGCCTGCCTGCCTGCCTGCCTGCCTGCCTGCCTGCCTGCCTGCCTGCCTACCTGCCTGCCTGCCTGCCTGCCTGCCTGCCTGCCTGCCTGCCTGCCTGCCTGCCTGCCTGCCTGCCTGCCTGCCTGCCTGCCTGCCTGCCTGCCTGCCTGCCTGCCTGCCTGCCTGCCTGCCTGCCTGCCTGCCTGCCTGCCTGCCTGCCTGCCTTATCTATCATCTATCTATCGATCATCTATCTATCTATCAATCTATCTATCTATCTATCTATCATCTAATCTATCTATCATCTATCTATCATCTATTATCTATCTATCTATCCATCCATCCATCCATCATCTATCCATCTGTCTATCTATCTTATCAAATATAAATAAATAATTACTATGTATCACTTTGGACCATTATTATTTTTTTGTGTGTGTGTGGGGGAGATGGTTGATCAAATTTGGAAAAAAAAAACCATTATGGCCCGTGAGATAACTTACAATCCACACTAGCTTGCCAGACCATTTGTTTTAGGTTACATTTCTTCAGTTTTTACAGTGCCCTTAAATGTTTTGTGCTGTAATGCTTCTCGTGTATGTCCAATATTGTTAATCTTTTGTGTTTCAGTTCTGAGGGAGAGCCTGCAGCTTGCCAGCGGTGCACAAGTGGAGGAAAATGAAAGTTTAGATGAAAGCAGCGACCTTACGGTTTCTCTGAGTGAGGAGGAAGAGGAGGACGAAGAGCCCTTTAAGCAGCAGAAAAGCATGGGGGATGTTGGCAGCAAGACCTCTTTAGAAACAGCCAGTGCAACACACAACAAGGAAGCCCCTCCTAAAGAAGGACCTCCGTGTTCTTATACCTCCAGCCCAGAAGCATCTGCTGGTTCCCCAGTCAGGTAAAAACCAAGGCAGCAGTGCAGGCACAGGAAGCCTCATTTTCTGCTGACAGCCTGTTGCCAGTGTGGGACACCTCATGGGAAGGGGTTGCTTTTTTACATTCATTCTCTAGACCCTCCAGCTGCTTACACTGATGCTGCCATGCAGGGGTCATTTCGTAGCAAAAGAGGTGCAGGAGCTCATTAGCATAACTTATTTGCATAACTTATTTGCATATGCCACACCCCCTGACATCACCGGAAGTGTGTCAGAAGGCAACACCCACCGCTCAGGCTCCACTGGGCTGTTTTGGATTGCTAGCTATTGGGGGAGGGGGGAACGTGCAGATCTGTCCTCGCAGAGGAGGGAGAGCTTGTACCTGAATAAAACTTGGTCTTAAAGGTGCCACTGGACTGTTTTGGGCCGGGGGGAGCGCTGCTACTTACCTGGCTGCTTCTTGATCTGACTGAGGGCTGCTGGGAGCAGGGGGTGGGGCTTGTTGCATGTGCTCGCCCCCCAGGCTCTTTACTGCTGGAGCTCCGCTCCTGTGCACTTCTGTAGGAAATGACCCCTGCTGCCATGGCACATGGTAATGGGGTGGATCTGGCTGTCTTCCTAGGAGCCTAAATAGCCTGCCTTCTTCCAATGAAATAGCTGCTTAATTTGGAGGAAGACTCCTTAATTTGGAGAAAGACTTTCTTTAGAAAAAGAAGAGATTGGCTTTATACCCCCCCCTTCACTCGGCGTCTCAGAGCGGCTTACAAACTCCTTTCCCTTCCCCTCCCCACAACAGACACCCTGTGAAGTAGGTGGGGCTGAGAGAGCTCTTCTGAGAATTGCTCTTGAGAGAGCAGCTCTGACAGAACTGTGGCTTGCCCAAGGTCATCCAGCAGCTGCAAGTGGAGGAGTGGGGAACCAAACCCGGTTCTCCCAGATTAGAGTCCGCACATTTTTATCACCAAACTGGCTCTCACTTTACACTTGAGCCAAAAGACAAGGTGGGATTTTGATAAGCTTTGCTCAGTGGAGCGGTAGGATATGGGGTAGGATTTACCCCGTTGTCAAGGACAACAGGGACTCAGAACCCTGAGGTTCCTGATTTTTGTTCCTGTGTTGTCTTGTAGCAAGCTGTTCAGGTTCACGAACAGAAGGCCAAAACCATTATATTACCTTCCCAGATTCCAGCATGACTCTATCCACCTCTTGGGTTTCCCCTGTCCTCACTTAACAGTTTCTGGGTCTGCCCTGGGTTTTCACTTTGCTCTCTCTATGACATCCAAGGACCTGCATTTATCATTTTATCTAACCAGTCCCAGTCCTGCCTGCCTTCTCAGTCCTGCCTGATTCTTCTGTAGGCTCCTCCACACACACACACACACAAAAATCTTTCTGAACTTTAGTCAGAGTTTAATGGATTTACCCCTCCAGCGCTGTGTGCTCCAGCCTGTCTGCACCCTGAGCATTGACAGGTACCAGAATGCTTTGCGGCTTGTGCTTGTTATAATTATTGCTATTACTCTACCCTCTTCCCCTTCTCCTCCACTCCAGGTAATTGATATGCCGTACATGGTAGCTGGATCAGTAGTTGCTCACCTCTGGGGTAGTGTGATCCTAGAGAAATATGGGCTTACATTCAGTATTTCAGGGAAGTCACCTTAGGTCTCCGTTAAATTCACCGTATCACGACCTGGAGCTTTATGCCTAACTTTCACTTTGTTGTTAACCTTGGCATACAATTTAACATAATTTTGCATGCCATTTGCCAGCTGAATAACCTCTGTGATGCACAGTGATCATCCAAAGTCTTGGAGCTTAATTAGCATTTCCAGACATCACATTCAGAAGAGAAAATGACATAATCACCCCTAACTCTATTATAAGTGAAATTTTTGTGTGTTTAGTTCAAGTGGTATGCTATTATAAATAAACGGAGGTAATTTGTATGCACGTAGCTGGACTGGTTGTGTCTCTTGTGTCTGTACCCTCGCTCCCCTTCCCAAAATGAAGCTGTTTAAGGCTGCTGTAGTGTGCACAGTTCGGCTGCTTGAATCTCAATGGTGACGGTGTTTAAGCCGCTTGGCAGGGCACAGGATTGCAGCCTTGTTCTTTTTAACCTTATTTTGAGGAATCCCATATTTCCTCTTTATTTATTGTGCCACTGTGACACAAATACTTTTAAATGGTAGAACCTCTTTGGACATCCAGATATTTCTCCTCCATAGATTTGTGTGCTTTGGGTTTCCTACAGAACATCTGCATGTCTGGTAACATGATAACTTCAGGCTCCAGGGTCACAAGAAAGAAAAGCCATGAACTGTGAATTGGCAGTTGCAAAATTTACTACAGGTCTGCTGGAACTGAAGGCTCGTCTTGTGCTTTGCATAACTTCCCATAACTAACCTGTGCTTCATTTAGAGCCTTAAAAAGCCCAACATCTTGGATTTAGCACTTAGGAAGATAATGAGTATTTCGAGCTCATGTTTAAGAAGGAACAAGGCAGAGACCTTTTGCTTGTGCGGCATCAGCTGCATTCAAGAGGACTTAGCACAGATGGATTGTGCATTACAAAATGTAACACGTAATTCAAGCTGTCAGTTTAATCAGACTGTTTCCAGGAAGCAACCTGCAAAAGAGAAAGACCCCTTGTTTGCTGACCCCTGATCCATAGCCTGCTGCATCATGTCATCCATTTTGCTTTTCTTTATTTATGTGTCCCTTCCTTCCCATCCTTTTTATTAATGTATTCCCTTCAAGTGGCACCCTGGAAAGACCACCCAGAGGGAGGAGCACAATAGGGAATGAGCTGGCTGAAATAGAGATTTTGTAAGACTGGAGTGCAGTGAAAAGCACTGTTGAACTGCCTGTGTGTTCTCGCTAGTTCGATGTGTGTTAAGTCTAAACTTGAGAACTTTGCTCCCGCACTGTCTTCATTCTCTACTGTTCTCACTCACTGTTGTGGAAGCACATTGCGCTGGTGTTCAGCAGTTTGGGGGAAATATTTTACAGCTCTCATGTGGGTAGTTCACAATATACTTTAAAGTTGCACTTTGACAAAGCTTCTGAATGTTGTTGTGTGGCTTATAGCCCAGCTGTGTGTTTGTTTTGTGGACTTCTGCCGTGGAAAGGCTGGGACAAAGCCCACAGTCTGAATAGCTATTTACACCTCTGTAAAAGGATTAGCAGGGCCCCGTTGTTTAAATGCTTAAATCTTAATTTGCATCATTATAGGAGGGATTGTTTTTACTAAAATCTCTCCTGTTGTGTTTTAAACTTGTAGCCAGCCACTGGATTTCCATGTTCATTATAGATATAGGAATTTAAAAAATAAAAGTTTGGATCCTGTAAAATTAGAAAGCGCTAGGTGCTAAATTATTTAATCTGTAGCTGTTCAGACTTGCATTGGAGATCCATGCAGTGCCTCCGTAAACCTTGGCAGATGCACTTTCTTCTCATTTTCCAAAAAAAACTCCCAATAAGTAACTTGTAGTAGAATGTTTAACATCTAACTTCTGCTAATCACGTCAGGACGACTTTTGTTGCCAGTTGCATAGTTGCTGTCATTCTCATGTGTGCGTGCATAAAAAGTTGAGGTTGGCTCAAAACAGCAGCTCTTTTTTTAACATTTTATTTTTAACTTTTTATAGGAATACAAAATAAAGGGCAAGGGAAAAAGAGAAGAAAATAACATTTATTTAAAAAAATACAGAGGGCGATGTTTTGCAGATATTAAGGACAGTCATTATTAAAAAGTATATTAAAATGATGTATAACATTTTAGCAGGTGGTGAAAGTGTGTTAATATGTTTTCGTCTGCCATTTATGTTGGCTTTTTTGTTTTGAAAACTCTCAAAATAACACTAAGTTTCATCTATACGTACTAAGTCCATATAAATTGAATCATGAATGTGTTCTTGACTCTGAGGTACATTATGGAGGGTATTGGGTATCCTGCAAAAATGGAAGCTTTGCATTGACCTTCTTTCCTGTGCTATGGTTGCTTGTGTCTTATTTTGATTCAGAGCCTCCACTTGCGAATATTGTGCTGTATACTTTTACCACTTTGTAGACAATGGCTTGGCGTGTTGCAATACTAGCATTCTTTTTCCAAGGGCAGGGTTGTATACAAAAGTACAAACGTATGCATTGAGATGAAGTAATTCTTCCTTTTGCTGTTTTATATGCAAAGCACTTGGTAGCTTCTGTCTGTCTGCCTCTCAAGTATAAAACCAACATCTTCAGACTGTCTAATGAAGTTTCTAACAGCCCAAAAAGCCCTGGCTCTGGTTGAGAACAGCCGGGTACTTTTGGGGCAGGGAATCACCAGCTCTTTGGGAGATGTACCAGGAGAGGTGGTCCCATAGATAAGCTGGCCCCAGACCGTTTAGGGCAGATGTGTTAAACTCATTTGTTACGAGGGCCGGATCTGACATAAATATCACTTTGTCGGGCCGGGCCATGTGTGCCATAAAATGTAACACAAGGTACTGAAGATTTAAATTTTATATAAAGATGATTTTAGATGCTGTATGGCAATAGCAGGCGTGACTGGATTAGGTGTGATATGCAGAGGGGTGGAGATACTAGCATTGGTAATGAGACAGGAAACCTAGGTCTCAATTTGGTACAAGAGGATTCAGTCCAGGAGGATGCAAAGAATAAATGGAAATAAGTCTGAAGAAGTGAGCAGTGACTCACAAAAGCACATACCCTACCACAATTTTGTTAATCTTTAAAGGTGCTACTGGAGTCTTTCTACCACTGTTAGAAACCACAACATTCAAAAACCAGTGGGGGAACATTTTAACCTTCCAGGGCATTCAGTTGCTGACCTAAGGGTAACAGTTCTCTTACAAAGGAATTTCAAAGGGAGATTAGAAAGAGAGACTGCTGAATTGCAACTGATAATGAAGCTCAAGACAATGCAGACGTCTGGACTGAATTGTTTTCTCATTACCAAAGCCTGCTATTGTCTTTTGGCATCTGAAATCATGTCACTCTCCAAGATATAAGGACAGATGGA